TTTCACCAATAATTTTCTCCCTATCACTAGATTTGTGAATCTTAAGCTCTCTTCTGTTTCCCTAGTCCATTTTTTTTAATAATAAAAATCTATTACAAGAGAACTAGAAGCTCTAGCACCAATATTGGTTTTAACATACCTCCAAGTAAGCATCATATTTTTCTCTAAATATGTATGCTCTTATATACCATCCCATACCAAATCTTCATCTTCAAGCACCATTTTTTCTTCCACGTTTGGGATATTAGCATCCATCTCTTCAATCAAATCCCTTGAGATAGATTGGATCATTGATATTATGCATCTCACAGTGAGTCTTAAGAACTTGAATTTACTTCACATGACCTATATCATACAAATTTTATAAGCTGAAATGTATCCAAAAGATATTTAGAAGTCTACTTAAGACAGTTTCCCTTTCATATAGTATGATAATATATAAATTTAAATCATAATTAAAAAATTGCATTAAAGAGTAATCTCCCAACATCTTCCACCAAGGCACCTGCCTAGGTGGCACCTCAATAATGGTGCCAATCCGGGCGAAGTGAAGGGGATTGAAACGCAAGCCCCTTTGACAAAACAAAATGGAATTCTGCATTCAGTGACAATAAGGAGTTTTACACACATGAGAAGGATATACTTGTAAATTAAAACTTTAGGGATAGCTCTGTTGAGGTGCCTTTTGACATCCTTGGTAGTCTTCAAAGCAATCTTTATTTTTAATTAGCTTTTGATTGCTTCCTTCTATCATATGGTTCAGAAGTCCATAAGACCAACAATATAAAACTCAAAAGTTGTAAAAGATGGATGGATGATACAAGAACTCTCGGGTCCATAAATTTCTAAGTGCCCCTCTCTTGAACTAAATCCAACTTTTGATAATTTCTTTTGAGACTTGGCTCTTTCAATATGCAAGGTAAAGTACGTTAAAGAAGGGAAAGTCAAAAATCCATGGCTCTCATATAAAGACGAAGTACAAAATTGTTGATGTGGCTTCTTGAATTTTTTCCCTTCTCGATTTTCTCTACCAATAGGCGATTTGAGTGATTGTATCAAGTTTTGTGCGGGAGAAGGGGGCGGGGGGGTTGGTGCGGGCATTATGCGGGGGAAGGATCAGCAATGAATAGATCACCTCCTCTCCTTAAATGTGATTTGAGTGATTGGAGTGAGGATTAAAAAACATTTGGATTGATTTAATGGACATAGCAATTGGGAGGAATGAATTCATATGGCAGTGGTCGTTAGGCACAAAAAACTAAATTCCCAAAATAAATAAATAAATAAATATAAAAAAAACACTTTAACAGAATATCATTGTTATCAACTTTCTTCTCAGTAGCTTTAATGCTTGTAATTATTCTTTACTTGTTCTAGATATCATCCTTTAAACTATAAAGCTTATTTCATTGCTTTTATAATAATGACTTTTATATTGTAAAGGTCTTTTTTACCTAATGGGGCCGTGTCAAATAAATGCATGGACGTAGGAAGCAAGCATGTAATGAGAGGAGTTGGAGAGCATGTAAGAAATAGCTCTTGAGAGTTGCTACTCAGATTTCACAATGTTTTAATCAAACCATGTTAAAACCGCTAATTAGATAATTTAACTAGTTTTGTTTTTATCTCGGTTGAAACTACCCTATAAAGATAAAAATGAAACAATTTTAGGCCTCATTTGTTGCTTGACATTAGAAAATATGTTTCAAAAAATAAAAAATGTATTATATTAGGGAGTTTGCTGGATTTATTTTGAAATCAATATAGATTTAATATTTTATAAACCCTTTCAAAAGCACTCAAAATTGAAATTTTCAATTTCACACTCATGATCATCATCAACAACAACAATAAGCATTTATCCCACTAAGAGGGGTCGGCTACATGTTTTTTTTTTCTCCATTATGTTCTATTGAGTGTTATATTTTCATTTAATTCTAATAAATTAAGATCATTTTTCATACAATATGCCCAAGTCTTTCTAAGTCTACCTCTGCCTTTCTTAGCACAAGTCAAATCTAAAACATCTACTCTCCTAACCGGATAATCAGATGGTCGACATTTAATGTGACCAAACCATCTAAGATGACTATCTCTAATTTTTTTTGCCACTAGAGCTACACTAACCCTATCACGGATATAATCATTTCGCATTTTGTCTCTAAGTGTAAAACCACTCATCCACCTAAGCATTCTCATCTCGACAACACTTAACTTTTTTATGCTTCTCTTTTAAAGCCAACATTCAGCGCCATAAAGCATTGTATGTCTCACTACCATCTTATAAAATTTTCCTTTAAGTCTAAGCAGTACTTTTCTATCACACAATAGACTTGAAGTATTCCTCCACTTCAACCAACCAACTTGAATTCTACTAATAACATCCCCATCTAAATCACCATCACTCTGAACAATAGACCCGAGACATCTAAAGTGTTCACAACTTTAAATAATTTTATCACCCATAGTTACAACTTTGTCACTAGTGCTATACTACAAAATTACATTCCATGTATTCAGTTTTAGTTATAATCAAACGAAGGCTTTTAGACTCCAATGTAGATCTCCATAATTCAAGTTTTTCTTGAGCTTTTTTCTATGATTTTATCCACAAGAATGGCATCATCAACGAAAGGCTTACACCAACGTAGATCCTCCTGTAAATGTCCAATGAGAGTATCCATAACTAAAGCAAAAAGATATTGGCTTAAAGTCGATCCCTAATAATCCAACTGAAATAGGAAAATATTTGGTCAATCCTCCTGTTCGAGCACAAGTAACTGCTATAGTATACATATTTTTAATGACTTGAAATAAGTCATATCAACACTTTTCTTTTCTAGAACTCTCCAAAAGGATATCTCTTAGAACCTTATCCTAAGTTTTTTCTAAATCAATAAAATCATATGTAGATCCCTTTTATTCTCTCTGCACTTCTCCATCAAACCTATCAATAAATGTATAGCTTCAATAGTACACCTGTCAGGCATAAATCAAAATTAACTTAAACTAATTTATATAACATAAAATCTTATATTTTATCTTTTCCTGCACATTATTATTCCAACACCAATTATTTTTATTTATAAATTTTTTTCTTTTTGATTCTCCAAGTACATCTTTTGTCACTTGTTCAAAAGTGTTTGTTACTTTATCCCACATAGAATTTACTTCTTCATGAATATCTCAAATCTTGAAATCTTGAAGTTTACTAATAAAAATAATTTTATTTGTGTCTTTTAGGTTCCCTCATCTAATTCTATGATAATGATTCCTAGTATACTTTATTTTATAACTCGTCATCCTAAAATCCATAACTAATAATCGATGTTGAGTACTTAAATCCTTGTTTGGATTGATCTTACAATCTTTACATTCTTGACGATCTCTTCTTCTTATAAGAAAATAATCAATTTTTATTTTATTAAATCCATTCTTATAAATAATAATATGTTCATCTCTTTTCTTCAATAAAGTATTAGCAATAAAAAAATCATACACTAAAGCAAAATCTAATATGACTTTATTTTCTTCATTAATCACTCCAAAACCGTAGCCACCATGAATATTTCTAAAATCTTTTATCACTCTACCAACATGTCTATTTAAATCTCCTCCAATAAAATATTTTTTTTCAAGGGTATCATTTGTATTAAGTCTTCTAGGTCATTCCAGAATTTTTCTTTAGAACCACTATCTAAACCTACTTGAGGAGCATAAGCACTTATAATATTAAAAATCTTAGTATCAATAATAATCTTAAGGGCTATAATTTTATCTCCAATTCTATTAATTTTTATAACATTATCTTTTAAACTCTTATCTATAATTGCACCTACACCATTTCTAGTGCTACTCTTACCTAAATATCAAAGTTTAAAACCTAAGTTATCAATCTTCTTAGTCTTTCTCCAACACATTTAGTTTCCTGCAAATATAAGATATTTATCTTTATATGACTCGTAGTATCAACTAATTTCATTAATTTACTTGTGAGAGCACCTATATTCCAAGATCTCATCCTAATATTAGTTTCATGGACTAACTTCTATAACCGCATTCGTCATCAATTTTTAAATTATTTTTTTCATTTATATGCCACCAAATGAGGCAATATAATATAGTTAGAAACATGAGGGTCATTTCTATTAATGAAAAAAAAAACTTAGTATGCTTTTTTCTCTTACTTGCCTAGGAAGGTAGTATAGCAATTACATGTTCAAGGATTTAAAACGTGTTCGTCTAACATTGCCCACTTTATGTTAGAAGGGGTAATTTCCTTGGAAGGCTTAATTACAGTTTCCAAGAATTGGTAAGGATTTCCTTATTTTCTTGGAGTGAATTCCCCAAATTGGGAGAGGTAAGAAGTCTGGGAGATCATAATAGTCTGGGATTTTATCACAATCAATCGCTAAATCTTCAATCATTTCCCCTCATCTATCTTGATGTAAAAAAGTGACTCAAACATTTTCTTCCAGTAGTAATAGTATGTGCCAGGGATTATCACCGCTCCAAACTACCACCGGTGACTGAATCAGGTCCTGCCAACAGTGGCTGGAAGTAGATTGAGTGCCAATAATCAACTGGTTAGAGTTTCACCACCAAAACAGGGATATCTAGAAACTGCAGGAAGTAGCTCTAATCTTTCCAAGGCAAAACCGATGGTGCATTAGCGGTAACAATTCCTAACAGAGTATGGATGTGGTTCTTGTTTAAGTTTTTTACATCCAATAAAGATTCCAAACTGATCTTAAACTATCATGGCAAATTCCATCCAGGAACAGCAAGGAGGTGAAAAGGAAGAATGCATACAATTCAATTGCTTCCAACATTTCAATATCACCAAAACCCTAAAAGAAGACTTCAAATTCATTCTAAAACCTGAAGCACATATCAGATTCTATGTTTTACTTCTTCTAGAATAAAAGAACTACCCACATCTGTTCCACTTCTGCAACATTTCAAAGGCTACTAAGAAGAGAGAATTGAAGAAGAAGCAATGTTTGGAGAAGAAATTACACCAGCAGTTGATGCCACAAAGTTGGTCCTGAAGAATGGATATTTAGAGGATGACAAGCTCTCTTTTGGTATAAAAACTTCCTCAAATTTCCCATTATACCTTCAATATAAAAACAGTATGCATCATACATGAAGAAATCCCGCGAAAAAATTCGTTGGAGATATAAACCTGTTGAATCCCCAGCATCATCAATTCGAGGGGCCATTCCGGATGGGAGAGGAACATCTGCTCGAAACAAACAATTGGTAAATGATTAGAAATCCCAAAGAGAATTACGAGGAGAAGTTGAGAACATATTAGGGTTTTGAGATGAAAAAGATACCATCTTTGGGTAGGGTTTCCCTCGTCCATTCATCGTCGACGATATCAATTAGAATGCCGGGGCTCAAAAGCTCTGCTGCATCTGCCATCTCGCTTAAAATCTATTCCGATTGTGTCTCTGCTGAAGTATGGAGCTGAAAAGAGATGACAAGGGTTGTAAACGAGTGACTCGCGCTTCATCCACCGAGTTCAAGTGTGTTTTTGTTTTGTTTTACAAGGCTGAGACAGTTAATTTATTTAGTATGAAATAAAAAAATTAATTTAAGTTAATGTCATAATTAAATGATAAAATAGAATGAATCACTTCATTAAGAAGATAAAATATCAGTTTTTAAATATTTTTAGTATTTTAAAGAATATTTTTTGAATGTTAATATATTTTTAAATATATATTTTTATTAATACTTTTTTACCTAACAAATGGAGTCGGGGCTGGTTTGATCCTGTCATGTTAGCATCACTAATCACTTATCAAGTGAGCTCGGGCCGGCTCATGAGTCTGCTTGAATCACTTACAACCCTAATCTAAAGTGGATGAGCTTTTATGTGCTAAGCCCGCGTAATATTTGTGTTTTTATGTTAAGTATTAATTAAATGATGTTAAAATTAAAAATAATGCTAGGATCTTAGATTTTAGTTGTCTGCATCAGAATTATTTTATGTATTTATGAAGATAATTTCTGAAAGACATTTTTATGAGTTATAATTATTTGATTTTCAAGAAATAATTATATTTATCTCTTATAAGTATATTTTTTGTGACTTTGTAAGTAATTATATAATTTATTTATATATCTAAACTGCTGTCAAAATGGCTCATTATTCTTGAACAACTAGTCGTTCAATTCGTTCGCTAAACAAATGAGACAAACACGATATATATAAATATGTATATATAATTGTTGAGTATTATTATTAAATAATTTAATTGACTATAAAGGTGTAAAGATTTTTAACTAATTTAAATTATTAATTAAAATTAGAATAATGAATTATTAAATTCTATTTAAATGAATATTTTAATATAAATGATAAGATTTAAATCTCGCCCTTATTCTTAACATTCTACGGCTGAGTAACTACAAATGTCAAAATGACTTGTTGTTCGTGAAAAACTCATGTTCGACTCGCTAAGCAAATAAACCAAATATGAACAAATTTTTTTCGTTCGATTTATTAATGTCCCAAACATATTTAACAAGCCAAATACAAGTTGAGCCTAAGCACGCACAAACTTGACTAGTTTATATTTTTTTTAAAAGATAATTGCACAGCGCCTAAAAGATTGACATTTATAAATCTAGCACTAAAATGATATTTTGAACCTGGGAACTTATGCATTTACATATGACACAATCAAATCATTGAAAATTTGATAAAAATGAAAATTTTTGGATTGAAGTTGTATGTGCTTGAGGGAGTCTGTGTTTATTCGATGTTTGTATACATTTTTATGTCTATCGAAAATTGAAATTATCATAAATTCTATTTTCAAATACATACCATACATCTAAATTAACTATGAAGAAGAAAACTTCATAAATATTAACTAGTCATCAGGGGTGTTACAGACAAATAGTGTATTTAAATATCTAATGTCTATCATGAATATATTTACATGTGTAACGCACAAATCCTTAACATCACATAAAAATAGCACTATTTGTTTGTTCTGGTGTTTAAGCGCTAATCACAATTATATTAAGGGTTACTTTTCAAAATGAAAGTTACATTTACATGCATAATTTTATAATAATTAAATGTTATGAATATAAATATGAAAGTCTAAATGTTGGACATGTAAATGCATAAAGAAGAATGCTGCATGTATGTAAACTTCCCATAACATTATTCTCAAAGTATATCTAATGATTTTAGAACACATCTCATCAACATCAAGAAATCCAAGCCAAGAAAGTATCATTATCACATGTATGGTTGCCTAGACTTTTTGTAATCTTACATGGATGCTTGTACATAAATAAATAAATAAAAATGTATGCAGAGAGAATCAATTTTAAGATAAACAATAGAGAAATCATAATGCTCATCAAATTTAGTGTAGAAGTGTAACAAGTGTTTCATTTGCCACATATGCTTTTAGATGACATTTGTCTTGCATTTGAATCCCCTAGAGTCAAAATGAGCTACATATTTAGAATTTAAAACTCCAAGCACTCATACAAAATTATATATGATAAAAATGTGATCATTTCTAAAGTATTAAAGACAATCATACTCTTTAACTTTATATATAAGGTTTATGACATTTAAACAAATCTTATTTTATGAATGTTAAGGAGGAATGAAACAAACATTCAAAATGGTGTACTTGATTTGATATCTGTGAAATTTACATAAGTTATGGTCCAATATTCTAATTGACACATCCTATTTAAATTTTAGTCATAATGGATTTCAAAATTATTGAATTTACTTTAAAATGAATTGAATATATGAATAATAAACTAAAAGTCACACAACATTCGTTTTAAAATAAATTCAATAACTTCGAGAATCATCCAAACTAAATTTTGATAAAAAAATTCTTATCCATTTTTGTGTTTGATAACCTTGAGGTCAAACAAGTTTGAGTGTAAGAGTGTTAAGTATGAAATTATACTTACAGATCCAAGGGATCATGCCATGATGACTTCTCTGTTTCTCTATTATTTCAAGGGGAGTATGAAATTTCTCTGTTATTCTATTATTCACATGAGATCAAACCAGCAATCCAAATTTTATAATTGGATATTCACTGATTAAATAAAAAGTAAAATTATTGGAATATTTGGCTCACATAGTAGTGTATTTTAGAGGGATCATGGCTTGATGACTTCTCCATTTCTCTATTTTCACATAAAAATTCTTACACCGCTAATGATATTTAATCTGACCTTCGTAACTCTTTGTGTGTGTGCGCGTAGTTTTTTTTGTGATGGTAAGATAAAAAATGTGTCTTTTAGCAATGAACATTTTTTACTATTAGTGTGTGTCAAAACTTCACTGCAGTAAAGTAATAATTTAATGTCTCGACGTTGTACTAAAATCGAACACACAAACAAATAGATGATTCAAAAAGTAGAAGAAAAACACCAGGATAAAGAAATCAGCATAGGGTCTAGACCAGTAGAAATGATCCACTATGAATTCACAAGTACAAAAATATACCCTTATCTTGCAAAAGAAGGGTTGCAATGTTACAAGAAGTACCATGTTTGTTTGCACACCATTTATAGAAAGATATGAGGTATTATGAATACAATGGTCGTGAGCAATTGCTAGTAGGAGGTATCGTCAGGTATCCAATATATCATGTTGGATATGTCATTGCATAATATTTGAGATGTTTTGTTACCCTGTACTTAGGATACTTTGTTATTGTGTACTTAAGATACTTTGTTATCGTATACTTATGATACTTTGTTATTCCACAATGTTCACCAGGATACTTTGGTACTCAATAGAGTTCATCAAAATACTTTGTTACGCAGCAAAGTCCATTAGGATACTACATTACATAATAGAGGCCACCGATATACTTTGCTGCTGAATAGATTCCACCAATGTCGGGGAGCAGGGGGTAGAAGACGATGGACGAAGACGGCCGACAAACGATAATTGGTGACTATTGAGACCTTGAGTTATTGTCAGATCTAAAGTGCAGAACAACACTACAATTTAACCCCTTGCAGGCCCTCCTTCTCCTTCAAGCTAAGAAAGTAAGTTTATTGATAGGCTCTAGCTGAAATTTATTTTGGTCTTTCTGCAAATCCTAACTGATCGAACAACCAATATTGATTCTCCCTGATCATAAAGGTTTTTTTATTTATTTGAGTTCATTAATGAACTTAGAATTAAGAGAATTTAGGCTAATTGGATTTCTCTCATTAAGGCTCTCGATTTGACAATTAGTACGTAACATTTGGTATTTATTTAACCCTCTAAAAACTCCCCAAGTGGTTCAAATGCTTAACCTGGCCTTGATTTGGCTCATATTTGGATAACATTTGGTATTATTGGGCGCTTCTTATTGAACCGACCAGTTTGACTTTAAGTTTGCTAAAATTAAAGCTTTTGATGCTCATTAATTAAAATAGAAACATTTTCTATTTTAAAAGTATCTCGAGATGTGTGCTAAATAGTGAAATTAGTTTTTGACTCATCAAATATGCAAGATTGTTTTTATTCTCATATCATCATTGAAATATAATTAACAACTAAAAACATAAGTATAAGATGAATTTATGATTTATAAAAACACTTTAGCATCCCAATGATTTTACTCAATTTTAACAGGATTTTCGAACAAATTTTATTTATTTATATATAAATTTTTTTCCGATTTTTAAACGAAGTATTTCCTTATAAATAACTTCCCCACACCTGGTCGTCATATGAATCCCCTAGATAATAAGTGTTTTTTAATGATTTGAGGCCATTACAAATCTCATAATCAAGGGAGTTTTAGTTTTGTTGAATTTCTCTGCTTGAGATGCTCAATTTGACTATAGTTACATCATATTTAGTGTTTATTTACTCTCCAATTAACCATCCAGAACCTCCAAAAGTGATTCAAAGGCTTAATCTAAGCTTTTATTTGGCTAAAACTTGAATCAACATTGGTCACAATGGATTCTTCTCATTGAACTGGTCAGTTTGAATGTAGGTTTGCTGAAATCTTAACTTTGAATGATCATTAATTAAAATCTGAACATTTTTTGCTTAAAAAATATCTCAAGTTCTTGTGCTAAATGGTGAAATTAGTTGATGATGCGTCAAATTTGTAATAAATTTTTTATTCTCATCTTATCTTTCAAATATAATTCAATATTAAAAATACATGTATAACTGAGACTAATTACTACTTTTAGGTACAACTGATTCGACGTAATATAAAAATATTTTCAAACTGATTTTATTTTCATATATATAACTTAACCATTTGAATGGATGACCTGTATCGACCCCCTTCGATTATAGGATTTATTTTAATGATTTGAGGTCATTACTAACCTCTGAATTGAGGGATCTTTGACTAATTGGATTTCACTCATTAAGACACTTGATTTGACTATACATACATCAAATCTGAAGTTCATATGACTATCTAATTAACCACTAAAAACCTCCAAAAATGATTCAACAATTTAATCAGGAGTTGATTTAGCTTAGATAGGATTAACTTTGGTGTCATTGAGTCCGTCTTGTTGAGTTTAGTTGTTAGTTTATTGAAATCGGAACTCCTGATGATCATTAATTAGAATTGGAATGCTTTTTTTTTAAGAAAATATCTCAAAACCTGTGCTAAATAGTGCAATTAGTTGATGGCTTTTCAAGCATCTAATATTTTCTTATTCTAGCCAAATGTAATTCAATACAGAAAATATAAGTATAATATGGATTAAGAACTATTTCAGGCCCGGCTTTAACTAATCGAATTAAAATAAATCTCTGATCTATAAGAACAGTTTAGTTTCCACTAATCTGATCCAACTTTAAAAAAAAATTTTCAAACAGATTTTATTTCCATATATAATATATATAAATTCGATTTACAAACAGAGCATTTCCTTAAATATAAATTTATCCGTTGCTTCATTCTTGGGGATCTGCTACATATAAAGATGATACATTTTGCGAAATGATTAATCCCTGCTTCAGTCTTCCTCTCTCACTCATCAACTCACTCTTTCTCTCCCACTCCCACAGCCTTCCTCTGTTTGCAGATCGTTTGTTTTCCCACCTTCGGCTCCAACTATGGCGACTACAATTTGGGCGCAGCAAGTAGATCGTGCTATCGTATTCACTTCCACTTTGGGCTATCCGTTACCTGAGATGATGGATGAGAGCTGCTCCGTGGCTTCTTATCCCATTTCATGCTCCAACTATGGACACTACAAGTTGGGGCGCAGCAACTGGATCAACTATCATATTCACTGACACTCGGGACTATAATTCGCCGGAGATACAGAGGATGAGAGCTGATCCTCGGCCATGGAGGAATCCTTGGAAGCCTTATTATCCTCCTTACGGTACATAAATCTGACGTGACATTTTTTTCTCCTCTTTCTCCATTCGGGTGTCTTTGACATCTATATATCAGCATTTAATCATTTAATCATATATATTATATATATATCTCGACAAGATACGTGATTCCACCTCCTATGCGGCGTCCACAACCTCCTAATATACACAGGCCTCCTAATATACACAGGCCCGTGGCAGTTGAAGCCGTTTCTTCCAGATGCAAGATACCAGAGCAACAAGTGATGCGACTGACATGCAATTTTATGAGCCATTTTCTTCATATTAATAAATATTTTTATTAATAGTTGGAATAACGAAAGTTAATTTTTTTTAAATTTACAGTATGGAGAAAATCTAAGTCGAAGAAGTAGCGGCGGGTTGTCAGCAGATTTCATATTTGAGTTTTTGATAGGGTGTTTGGGCTGCCCAAGAACGAAAAAAGAGATTTGCACCATATGCCATGTGCCTTTTTTACTTTTTTTATTTTTTTACCTATAATTTACATAATGAAATATAAATTAAATTTTTTTGTGTTTTATTGATTAAATCAAGGATGAGATGCAAGTGGAGGAGAAGATGGTGACTTTGAGTTGCAGTCATATGTATCATTTGAGATGCATCGAGTAGTGGCTGAAGATTAAGAATGAATGTACTATCTGTAAAGCTTCTATCATCTAGAATACTGATGATTATGAAAGTGTTAGGAGAGTCATCTATATATTTTCAAGAATTTAATGATGTATCAGAAAGGCTTATTAGGAAAATATTAGATAATATGTGTATGTGTTCTTTAAGTGAATTGTATAATATAACTCAGTATGCATATGTTTTGAGTAGAAATTGGGCATGATCTTCTTTTCATATGCACTTGTGAGTTATTTCATTTATGAAATTCGAACCAAATGATATCTTTGGACAAAAAGAATATATATATATTAACTTCATATATTCCTAGAAATATATGCGCAAATATCAACATTTTTATTTTATAGAAAAATTTAAAAAAAAAAATTTCAAATGTGCTTTTTATTTTAGATCATGAAAGAATATTTTTAACTAAATATTTTCTCGCTATGTTGATATCCTTCTCCGTTATGCCCATCTTACCGTTACTCTCCCGTGTAAACTTGATTTCTGAGGGCTTACTGTCATGTCTCTTCTCTAGTTGGTAGCTCTAAGATTTATCAAATTCCATAAATTCAGATTTACGAAGAAATAATAATAAAAAAAAAACAGAACCAACTTAATTTTTTCTTATTATCCCAAAATTACAACTTTTAGTTATACTGTAAGTAAGTGCATATCAACAATTACATTTCAATGTTCAAACAAGTTGTTGGATAACTGTTTTTCAATTGCATTTACATGGATCAGCTCTGGTTGTCATATAACGAATCGAACTACTCGTTTTTGGGTGATAGAATTGCGGTGCACTAAGAAGATGGAATCGGTTGTATTACCGAATCAAGAAAATAGTCATATGTACACGGCTTATTAAATACATTTAAGCCAATTAAATTACAGGTATAATTTGTCTTATGAATACCAACTTCACCTTTTGCATACAGCTCTCTGTAACAGTACAGTTTCACCATAATTCCAGTCAATCAACCCAGCAACCAAGTTCTGCTCATAACTGGATGAAGAATCATTTCTGCTTGAATCACCCCTTCTAGCTTTGAGTTCCACTATGTGCTGGACTTGGGCAGAAGAACTATCTTCACACTTGACTTCATATATGCAGCTTAAAAGATGTGCAAGAAATTCAACTCTTCCAGGCCTGGTCTCATGGGGCTCCACCATAAATTCTTTCTGAAATGTGTGGATCTGGAGAAGAAATTGTGAGAAAGTTGTTATAGATAGACTATCATGAAAAGCTGCAGCCGCTACCAAATTGAACCTGAAATAAATCAAACAATTTCATTCAATTGATGTTGAATTTTTATCAGGCTTGAAATGAGACTATAAAATATTTCAGTGTGATTCAATTTCTTGCCATAATAAATTTGAATTCAATTTGTGTCACGCCTACAGTCGGTTCAAGGCAACTTCTGTTTGATCCTTGGACATGATCGTATTTTTCATATTCCAAATATAAGTAAATGATGACAATTCTGTGTAATTTGTTTTAGAGCCACTATATACATACTAAATTAATGTCCAAGTAAACCAATTTTTGAATGTAGCAACCCCGCATATCGTCCAGACAGAAAATAAACAACCTAGTTAATGTTCTTCGTATAAGTTCATTGATATGCTTACATGTAATGTGATATGCATTGCATAGAAGCATCATGAACATATTTAAAGAAACGTGAAAGGAACTAAAGGATACCAGTTTTCCCTACTAGGAAGAGCAGAGATGCATTCAGGTTTGTCATGATTTTCATAAACAGCATCAGTGGCTAGAACTAATTTTCAGGTTACATGGAAGTCGGAAGTCAATAAAAAAATACAATACTCTAAGCCTAACTTCTATGGGAATAAGATGGCCAATTATGAATAGACAAGAAAATATGCACATCAATCAACAATAACATCAAGCCCTGGTATGTGAACTCGTGCTAGGAAAGCAGGCAAGCTATCCAGTCCTCCAAAAAACAAGGCATAAAAAAATTGTAAGTTTGAGTCAAGTGAAGATTTCAAGAACTTATCCACTATGAATACCTAGGTAATGACACAACTGGGTAACTTTAATGCATTGTGAGACAAAATATAAAAAAATTGATAATTTTGCGGTCATAGAAAACCACTAAATACGTAGCACACAAAGAATGGTGTTATGCCATAGCAATTTCATGAACATCTCATATATTGCCACGAAACAGCACAAACTTTGCAATATCGGGAATTAAAATAGAAAAAAAAAAAGAGGCATTTATATGCATACCACCCAATTCTATGTATTTACTTATCTAACACCTAAATTTTATTTCTAACATTTATACCATCCAAATCTTTCGTATCAAATAAAAAATACCACTATTTTAATCTTTAAAAGGAGAAATACACCATTTAGCCATAACCAAGGTAGCATTTATGTAAAGATTGAAGTTTGGGTGTTACAGATGTAAATACATCAGAATTAAGTGATCTGTATGTTACGGAAAATGAAAATAAAATGATAAAAAAAAGTGACAACAAACATATCTTCTATTTCCGTTGCAAAATAAAAAAATCTACGGCATAGACCATAAAATTCCAACGGAAATTTCATAAAAAATATAGTGGATGTTTAGAATCAACTTTATTTCTAATTTTTCTATTATTTTTATCTTGTTTTTATAAATTTACTTGTTTGGTATGTTTTTATGAGTTTATATTTTTTATTTTTAGAAATACAAATATTTATTTTTAAAAACACACAATATAACTATTTAGAGTGCTCTTAAAAATAAATTGATTTGTTTTCAAAATAGCAAATATATTTTGTTTCAAATAAAAATAAAAAACAAAATAAAGTAAAAATATAATAGAAAATTAAAAAAAAAACAGAATTTATCCCTTGGTTAACCTACATGCTTTCCAACGAAACTCTGATATTACAGTAAAATAAACTAAGAAATAAGAAATAAGAAATAAGAAATAAGAAATAAGAAATAAAATGATATTAACATACATGATTAGTATTTCTAATGAATAAAGACGTTAAATATTGTATTATTTTGTTTGTTTTGAAAAAATTCAACTAAAATGAATTAAACATTTTTCATTCAAGTATAAGCACAAATATTGTGCTCTTGCAAATTAATCCATAAATAATCATAAATAACTTTGTCAGCTCATGATACAAGAAACGTATGACATTCACCATCAATAGTCAACAAAATACTTGCAAAAATTTATAGAATCGGAGGAGCATGTCTATTGGGTATGATGTTGGATGTGAAATCATAAGATCGCCTGATATAAATTTCACATGAATTTAAAGACCTCCTCGTTAAAAAATTCATTGAAACAGAAAAGCACTTTATCAAGAAACAAATCTAAAATCAATTACAATTTGACTTGTAGAGAATGATTTCATTTGAAACTTCTACAATTAAAATCATTAATATCTTCTATTGATTTTTCAATGTCAATAAACATGGTTAATTTAGGCTCACGGTTAAAAACCGGATTCAACTTTTACTAGACAGTACATATTTTAGGAGTTTTCATAGCAAATTCAAGTTCAAATATATGAGTAGATTCAGGGCCCGTTTGGGGCAGCTTATTTGGTGCGATGGCGTTTTGAAAACGCACCTAGCCTGTTTGGGTAAGCTACGTTTTGATAGCTTCTGCGTTTAAAACAGCGTTTTCACACCGCACCTATCTAGGTGCGGTGAGAGCTTTCTGGGTGCGGTCTGGCTTTTCCAAAAAAAATAAAATTTGTAATAGATACCGTACCTATCAGCAGATTATTTTTAATCAATTTATCAGCAGATTATTCAATAAGCTACAGCTGTCCGAAACAGACCCTCAATTTCACATAAAAGCTCACATTCATAATCAGGATGAGTTTTCATATGCTCAATTTCAATTTATGCTTCAATTTCCAACGGAGGTTCAACTTAAACTCAATTTCAAATTTGGGCATTACTTCTTGTTAAGAGAAGTGTAAAATTTCCACCACATTAAAAGAATTAAATTACAATCATAAATCATCATTTAATTCATCTTAAGAAAATATTCTAAACTATATATAAGATCAGATTTAACTACATATGATTCTTCTGTCAATATATTTTGATAGGCATGAGAAAAGTATTTATCTATGCAAATCTAAGCATCTAAACCTTAATTATTTCATTGCTCCTTTGGTCTAATTTTGCCGAATTTTCTTCAAATAGTTAAGTAATCAAAATTTTACAGTTTGGTGATCAGGTAATAATTAACTCAAAATGTTAAGCCTTGCTTCTAATCATTTGATAACATGTGTGAGAAGAAAAAAAAGGTAATGATTTTTCATAGAAACTTTAATTACATGCACATTAGTCTGACTAACATAGCACCGATAATAGGCTTGAACATTTAAAATTCTAGTTCAAGCCTTAGATAGCATTTTTTGGGAAATTTGTAGTTTTGTTCATCTCTGATCTCTTGTCAAATACTTTGAATGAGAAAAATAAGAAAAATAAAATATTCACGATGCAAATATTTTTAATCTACAAGATTTATAATCCATCATAAAATATGCATGCAAAATTCATCATATTTACAAGCTTTAAATTGATCATGTAAAAGATCTCATTAAATGATAAACATTATTCTTTAAGTTTATATTTTAGGTAAACCTATTTAATGTAGTTCACCTGCAATAATTTGAAAAAAATGACTGAGCTCAACCCACAAGCATGAATTTAACAGATTTAATTTTTTTTTTCGAAAACAAATAGATTGGAATATTCAAAGAAACATTCTAAATTATAATACATTTGAAAATTCCTCAAGATTATACATATCATCAAAAGTAGGAATGTAATTTAGATTATAATAGTTTCAACATGTTCATTAGAACCAACCAAAACTTGCATGATCATGTTTAACTTGCATTGTTTATTAATTTTTTGATCAAACCAATTAATATATCTTATTTTTAATTGATATGATGATACAAATATAAGCTTAACTACAGATTTAATGTAGGATTACTAAGGGTTCAATCTTCTCTAAGCAAAACTATGATAACATACAAAAAAAAAAAAGTATAAACACGTGCACGCATAAACACGCGCACGCATAAACAAAATACACATCACAAATTATCAACTCAAAATTTTAGCAAAGATTAGCCGTATTCAATGCCAAATTTAATGCAAAATCAATAAACACATTTATTTCATTCCAAAAATAATATAATAATTATCAAAATCTATAATCAAGCTTAAGACAAACGAAAATTGGCATGCATCACATTTAATTAAACTTCAATCATACGCATACACCGATAAACAAAGAAAGAAATAGAGAAAAGACATCATGAAAGTGTTAATCCAAGTCTCATGCCATTACAAGAACAATTCCGATCAATGGTGTGCACACACACAAAAAACTCAAAGGTAAGACTAAATTTCTTTCACAAAGAAAAGCTACATATTTTTATATGCTTAAAGGGTCCTATATATGACCCAAGAAACGGCCAAAATAATAATTTTTTAATGATCCTCCAATGTTTGAGCTAAAACTGCAAGTTTCAATTCAATAAACCAAAAACATTTCTCTTAATCTAAAAGAGGAACATTGAAAAGTTTGGAGCATAAATTTAAAAGATAAAACCACAGGAAAGTGGTTTGCAGTGAGCTACAAACCATAATGAAATAGAAAGATGATCCAAAAAAAATGATTTGATAGAGGCACCTACTAAAGGGTAACATGCAATTCTTTATATTATTAAGTTTTTCTATGTTAATTCTTAATTTGCGTTATTCCAAATCCTGAGGCTGTGGAGCGGAACTTGGCAAAATTTTACAGGAAAGCACAATTGTGGGTTTGTTAAATATAATATATAAACAATTCCATTACAGAGCTTACGAATACCTTTAAAAAACAAGTATCTTGGCTGAGTTCCTTCCACCAAAAGGTCATAACTAAGAACAAAATCCTCAAATAATGAAAATGAGATGCTTACAGTTCATTCAGATTAATAAGGGAATGCCTTGCGTATAATCTTTTTCTTTGAAGACTCTGCCAACCGCCTTGAAACCATGGAACTGTTATAAAGTTCCATCAGGGATTCAGCAGCTGCATTCTCATGACATTTTACAAAAGCCTTGAGGAATTGCGGCTCTCTCATTCTCATGGCCGACACTACAGTTAGCTCCTTTCCACGAGGCTTCAGCCCTGCCTCCTGCAATCGTTGCCAAATCAAAAACCGAGGCTTTAAACACCTATCCAAACTGACCGAGAGCAACTTAGGCTCCTCGATGACAGCCCGGACTGGGAGTCTCATTATCCCAAGAACATAGGTCATGTTCCTCTGAACCTTGTCCACAGAGAAAGTAAGCACACTGGGATAACGAGCGAATAAATCGCTCAAAACCTCATCTTCCGATAGCCCGAACCTCTCAAGATTGGCGATCTTGCTTTGAATCGTGTCTAATCTGGATATGGCAATGATGGAGACGGCGTATTTGTACAACGCGGCGTCAGGCTGGAGACCGATAGAACATGCCGAGGAATGCAGACGCGCTCGTAGAGATCCGTGCAACGGAGGAGAATGGAGTCGACGTCGAAGGTGAGAAGGGAGGGGTTGCAGATGACGGCACGGAGGAGAGAGCGGGGGTCGTAGGGAAAAAGGGTGCGGAGAAATTCGAGGCGGCGTCCGATGCCGGAAGCGAGGGGACGGGAGAGGAAGAGTGGGCGGCGAGCTGCGAGCTACAATCTTGACGAGGTCCGGGCCACGGGCGCCGAGAGTTTTAAGGATCTGTAGCTTGTCGTGAACCGAACGAATGTTTGGGAGGGGAAGAGAGGTGCAGCTGTGGAGAATGGTGGAAACCTCGGCGGGAGTGCAACCCCATAGGAGTATAGCATCGGCGGCGGCGGGATCGGAGGAGACGGAGGAGAAAGTGGAAGAAGAGAAGGGGGGTCGAGGGGACAGAGATGGACAGGTGATGGTACTGAGAGTGCGGGGAGGTCTAGAACTGTAGCGCCGAGCGACGAGGAGAGAGGATGCCGCCACTCTCATATCCTTCCGGTACTCGTTTGCAAACAGTAATTTGAACGAAAGATGTCCTAGAAGCTGAGAGCTGTCCTAGAAGCTGAGAGCTGCCTTTTGTAGAGTAGAATTTTATTTCTTTTGTACTTTTTTAGAACAGGGATGGTTCTAATTTGAATCATAATAATGAAGTAAATATTATTATAATTTAACTAATTTGTTTTACAATATATTATAATTTTAATTCTATATGTATATATAAAATATAGGGTGTGTTTAGAGCGCGTTTGGTGTCGCGCCACAGTTTTTATTGTTTGTCAAAACTACGTTTTGTCTGTGTTCTCAAAAAGCTGTAGATGAAAACTGTGTTTTTCCACTGGACCCGACTACCAGCGGTTGCTGCTAGAAACTTGTGGTATGACTTTTTCTTTTTTTAAAAAAAATTGTAATAGCCACCACAACACAATTCTCGAGAAGATTTAATGATCCAAGAGACTGAAAAATACAACTAAGAAGGGTCTACCAGCAAAAGACCAAATATCTCATTTATACAACTGGACATAGTAGTCCGAACTAAATTCAAAGTCAAAGCCAAAACTAAATCCGACCAGACATGGCCATCGAAGCCAGAGTTTGAATGACAATAGACATCCAGATGATCTTAGTCCCAAACTAAGGGAAAAAAATCAACTCCGCAATACTATTAGTCATTAAACAAGCCTTCCTAGAGGCTCCTTATTAGGGATCGAGAGATAATCATGTCACAAAAAATCTAAATCATCCCTTCAACTCTCCTTATTAGAGAGTGAACTATCTTTTGAGTTAAAGTAATTGATAATCTACCCTACAACCTAGCATCGTTGAGCCAACAAAATCTCCTTTGATACCAGAGTTAACCCAAATTACGACCAAACAACAAATAATATTGCTGACTTTCAAAGAAAATACAAGCCAACTCTTCAACTGAAAATCACACAAAGATATGAAAACAATAATCAATAATGATGACTGTCAAATAAGAAAAGTAAGAAAAAAAAACATAAAAGACAAAAACATCCCCCTCTACATGAGAGCGGTAGATCTGGGAGGTAGAAAGGAAACTGTTGTAGGCTAGTCGGTAGCCAGCAGCAGATTGCGGTGGTGCTAGAGGGACAGTTGGTGGTTAGCGGCCAGTGGGAAGGGCGAGGATGGTCGACACCCTGGTGGAGGGAGCATGGAAGATAGGCGGCCTACTGGGATGTGCAGGGGAAGGTGGACAAGAATTTGGAATTGGGTGGCAGTGATCAAGACAACACTTAGGAGGAAACAACGACCTGAAAGAAGTCATTGATGGTCGGGACAACACTCGAAAGAATGGACAACAACCTGAAAAGCATATGCTGAGATGGCTGCAGTAGGATATCTGTTGGAGCTAGCGAACATTAACAAGGAAGGTGCACGAGGTGGCTTGCGATGATTGGACTACAACTAGATGTCAAGCATTGTGAAAAATAAGTATCTCGAGGGATCGAGTTACAACTAGAGAACCTCTTAAACCATCAGAGACGATCACCATCTCAGATTAGTTACGGTCGGAGCACCTCTTTGCTATCAGATACAACCCTCGGAAGGGAAGAACACCACAATGGCATCAAACTCTGAAAGGATAAAAAAAAAACTAACCCCAAAATACTCAAACATCACATATCTAATAGTTGCTAGTAATTAGAAAAGGAATGAATATGAATTGGAAAGAAAAATAAATAGGAAAGGGGATAACAGAAGCAAGTAATAGAAGAGGAAGGAGATCCTCTTTTTGGAAGGGAGTTAAATACGAAAGTGGGAGAGAGGAGGGGTGGTAACTCTCGACCCATTAAAAGGCTGGTTGGTCCAACTCTCTGCTGGACCGACACCCATATGTTGGACTGACTGGTCCAACTATAGCACCGCGTCATCCTCACCAAGGATTGATGGTCGACAATCAACTAATTAGCAATGCTAAGTCAATCAAGCCAATCCTACCAACCTGAAGTTAATCGAAGGCCGATAGGCAACCTTGACTCAACACAGCCGAATGAGCATACCTTACTAAACTAAGGCTCATCGAGCTCCTCCGAACGAGTTAGAGGGTAGCCAAGTCATAGGCCCATACAAGTAAAATACCTAAAATATCCTATAGCGCATCATTAAAGCATGGATAAATATGTAACTTCACATATTATACCCCCATCCTTATAAGTAAAGGATCATTTTATGAGAGAATGGATAATGGAAAAGACATTTTAATGTTCATTACTGTGCATTTCAAACACACACAAACATATATATATATATATATATATATATATCTCATTTCTTACACTCTAAACCTTGAGGTACGATTCAAGAACATATCAAGATTTAAAAATACACACACTTATTGATGATAGTATCTGAAGGTATAATTTCCCACAGTGAGGTCATAGGTTTGAATCATGCATGTTGCCCATTGAGCTTAATTTTCCTATATATATATATAATAACCATGAAATAAGTTTAGAACATATCATGTTCCAACATCATTTTGGCATTGGTTCATTGGTTCTTGATTTTATAGTTTAAGTTGGCCAATTTTTATGAGTTGATTTCTTCTCCTAAAAAATCTAATATTTTTATTGAACCAAATTGATTTGAGACCTGATTCACAATTCAACTAATTGAACTGCTTAATCTGATTCTATTTTCACAATTATATTTACAGGTATATTAATGTGTTTTTTTCTCTTGAAACCATTATGGATAAATTATAAACTGTGGTTCGATTTTCAGTTATTGAGGGACGTGAATCCTTTCACCATTACTAATGTAATTATACACATTATTTAAATTAAAAACTATTGGCTTCTATCATAATTAAATTATAATTTTTGAACTCTTAATAGGAATAATAAGGATCCTTTGCTTTGATAAATCCTTATTATTTCATCTCCTACTCTGTAACAAAACTCTACCCCCATCAACATATGCTAGACCGGGTGCTAAACCCTACACATTCTTCAAAAACCTTTACAATTTACTAAAGGCCTCAACTCCCTATTAACCTTAAGATATCCAAGACAAAAGCCTATTATAGAAAGACAATAGTCTATGGTAAGCAATAAGGAAAAAAAATCAAAATTCCTTAATTACTAATTCAAAAGATATTAAAACACCTTCATTAATTCCTTAATATCCCACACTTATAGTATATAGTTTCTCAAATTCATTTTTCCTTTAAGAGAAATTTACCCTTTCAATGCCAAGAAGTTCTAAATTTGTTCAAAACAACCACTATCCTAAGGTAACAAGTTGCTAACTCCACCAAATAGATCATCCATACCCTACATCATATATATGTGATCATTAATTTCAAGTCATACTATTTGAGTGTAAATATTAATGTAATTTTTTTTTTCTTGTATATTTTAAGTATTCTATTTCTCCTATTTTCTACTGCAAGTTGTATAAACTTTTTAATTTACAATTATTTTTGCAATAAATAAAAAAACCTACAAAAAGGGGAAAAAAAAAACATTTCAATGCTCCTAAGCCCAAATTTGTCATCGGTTAGCATCCAACCAAATACAAAAATGATATTTTATCAGTGTCATTTTGTAATTTATTTGGGCCATTATGGGAAACATTTTTATCTCAATATAAGCAAAAAAAAATTTACTAATCAATTGAAAAGGGCACTGGCATTATAAGTGGATATTTTTTATTTGGAAAATTTATAAATATATATACCGCACAATTCTTATGTATTTAGTACTTACATATCTAACACCTAAATTTTGATACTTGCATTTACAATACTTTTGCATTAAAGGCCTAGATATGAAATGGTCACATGCATGTATATATGAAGGTTAAGCGTTAGATATTATAAATATATAAGAATTGTGTGGTAATGCATGTTAATACCCCTTTTTTAATTTTTCAATACAAAAGCGATTCCCCTTACACATGTATGACTCGATGGCACACACATGAGCTTACCGTAGTTTTCCTCCTTTCATTTTACCATGAAGCTGATTGCATGTGAATTCATGGTGACATTTCTTTGAAGTTTCATTTTTTTTTTTAATGGAGCAAATTTACGTGCAGATTAGTGGTACTGTGGTGGTATTGTGGTTAATACCACCGAATTCACATGTATCGCACTGAATGAAACTGGAAGGTTTTGTATGTAATTTTTGAAAAGCGGCTTATTTGAAAATAATAAAAATTTTGGATTTTGAAGAGAACTTGCATGATCATATAAACTATCCTATGGACCTGATATGATATCCTCTAATGGAAGTATAAACTATCCTAAGGATCTGAAAGCTACCAGTCAAGCATAACGGTAAAATAGACTAGACTTCGAGGCCGCCGTGCATCGAGATCAAGCAAAGGCATCAGCACTTGCATCCATATCAGCATGGTTTAATATAAAGTGCTTGGGCGAAGGCAAGCCAGCCACCACATCCTCTTCAATTCCACACTCATTTGCTCCCCTTAAGATCTTGAAATAGCCATCCTGCACAATGAAAATTAAGTAATCTGATGTAAATACTAAGAATCATTCCGATAAAATTGAAATTTCATGTAAAAGATTTTGCAGAGATTCAGACACAGAGACATACATCGCCCCATCCTCTATTCCATTGATTAGCAAGAAGCTGCATAGAGCAACAATATCAAAAGAAGGCTGCTAAACTATTCTGAAGTAAGAGTATTAGAACAAGAGATCATACCCAGTAATCTTCGGCTTGCTCACTAGTGCCCCATCCAATTAACTTCACAGCATGTCCACCTAATACATCACCTGTGATGTGCTTATAGACTCCTGATTTATAGTGGGCAAAATCCTACCAATTTAGGTGAGAATATTGTATAAGTTCATTTTGTACATAAAAACTGACTTCGCAAAAACAAAAAAAATGATAAATTTAAACTTCTATATCAGTCAAGTTGATATTCTTGTGTTTTCATACCTCATAAACGGTGAAGGAGACTTCCACGGGGCCATTTTGGTAAACCTCTGCCATTATATTATGAGGATCAGAGTTTATTCTATAAGCATTGATACTAAAATGCTTTGCCTCAGCCCAGACTTGGTTATGGACCTTGCAATGCTTCTCACACTTGGGTGTCAGATAGGAAGGCTCACAACCTGGATGAGCACATCCAATCTGATCAAAGTACGGGTCACACTGCAATTAATGGCATTGTCAACTCAGCTTCATATAAGACAAACGTAATCATAAAATCCTTCTAATTAAAAGGAGAATCGAAGAAAAAACGCAAGAGAACTAAACGCTTCAGGAAACAGTTAGTAAAACCCAGGACATTAAAAACAAGGTAAATTTACATGCATACCAAAAGATGACCGATTCTAGTGCTTCTTGAAATTTGTGCAACGCATAAGAACAAGAGAATCTATTTTACTCATAATAAAATACGAAAAATATAAATGACATAATTACTTTATAAATGAATTCCCTGGCTACTATAGATAGGTCATAGAGCTAGAGAGGGATTGTGAGGTTCTCTCTTCTCCTATCTCCAATCTTTTCCCCTTTTTCTGCTTGAGCCTGTAACAATGTCCGGTGAGAGAGCATTGTTTGTTGACATAGATGCACTCCTTAAGGCTCTTGGTGGTATGCGGGCAAAATCGCGAGGATCGGGTTGGTTCCTCCGATTCTCTTGCAGGCTCGTCGCCGCAAAAAAGAGATATGGAACGGACCGAAGGTCAGCCTAACGATCGTTTTACTAGGCACCATTGACGGTTGATGTTCCTACTGGAGAGAAAGAAGCTCCCATTCATACTGATATGGGGTTAATAACCCCTCATGCTGGCATGGAGGAGGTGACGACTGAGGCAGAGATATCGCTCCAGTTGCCGAAAGATGGCCCTTCTTCAGTGGAAGGATAGGCAAGAAAAATCGGTGAGAGTGCTAACTCTTTCATCACGTCTGAATGGGACTGGGTTTTGGGTATGTTGCTTAAATCGCTAGCCTTGAATACTAGTATTTCTTTCTTTGGTGCAACTATAGATGTCCTGACGATCGATTCTCTTTCTCTTTCGTCACATGCTGATGTCGATCCTATGGAGGATGTGGCCGTCGTGAAACAGGCCGCTGCAAAGGATGCGGTTGTTGCGGAGGATGTGACCAGTGGGACAGGTTGTTTTGGACTAGAGGATAGTAGATAGTAATAATATGTTTGTTATTAGATTAGTGACAGAAGAGGTTAGTAAGTCTAAATCTCAATCATAAAACTATATGAAAAAATAGAAGAAAGAAAATAAATAAGTAAATAATAAAAAGAGAATTTTAGATTCTATTAATATTGGATTCTAATTGTATTATCTTGTTTTTCTATTCTATTAGATTTTCTTGCTGCAGCGGAAGTAAAGGAGATTCAAGATCTTTACGTACCTGATCCCTCGATTCGCCCTTGGCCGGCAGCTAGTCACGAGCAAGCAATGGACCACTTCGCCCTTGACTTGGCTTTTTACAAAGATCATTTCAAGATGGGTATTCAATTGTCATTCTGCAGGGAACTGCGGTCGATCTTTAATCGATATGGGATTGTTCCTGCTTAGGTTTTTCCATACTCGATGCTACTATTATGACCTTCGTCCTCTTATGTTGAAGGATAAGGATTTTCTGGGCGATCGAGTTGTTCAACCACTTCTTTTAGTTCAGAATCGGCCGGGATGGTTACATCCAATTCGCTTGTAGTCCCAAGTTTCATCTATAGATAAGATCAAGGATTGGAAAACAAAATTATTGGTTGGCTCCCTCACATGCGGTTGGGGGATCCGCGTTTCTTCAGTGGACTGCGGGGTGAAGAAGGCGACAACCTTACCTGGAAACCTTCAATACCACGAGATGTTGATCAAACGTCAACGCCTCTCGCTATTCCAATACCTCGACCTGAAAGTGGTCAACATATGATCCGTCTGGACGGTACTAAGACAATGACTGAAGGACTGTGGATCTCGTCCGATAATCGAGAAATGGCTCAGGAGATGCCTGTTGAAGAGCGGGGGGCTTTGAAAAAGCTGAAAAGCGGTCTTCTCCCGTCTGGCAGAGGCAGACGTCGACAGAGGGAAAAGCCGAAGGTGATAATCTTTTCACACTTATTATTCACTATCTATGTATATATAGCACTTGTGTAGTTTGGTTAGTTCTTTTTAAGGGAGTGAGGAGGATCCTTATCAAATTCTAGTGCTTCGACGACTCATCCATCGGTCGGCTGAGTTTCGACAATGACTCTTGGTGGGACATTGTTCGTGGGTTTGCAGGAGCGAACAGAGACAAGTCACACCTCCCATCCTGTTTCGATCAAGACTTAATCCGAGGGAGAATCAAGGCTGTCGAGAGAATAGGGAGAAAGACCTCCCGGATGGAAGGAAGCGCTCCGACTCTAGCCACATATTCGCCCCTTCCTCCAAAAAAGGGAGAACTTTCGTCTCAATGGTTTCACACACGGTCGAAGAGCCGGGGTATGGATGAGCGGCCATTATGTGCTCCTTGATATGGAGGAGTGTTTTCCCAATTCTCGACTAAATGGGGATTACCCTTCGACCTTGGTAGAAATGTTTTGTTCCCCCGCTTTTGAGAAGAAGTTGAGGTCGATGGATAAGAAAGACATGCTTCAAGCGACCAAACAGTACCATGCCCTTGCCTGAGAAGCCTCACATTTCCAGGCTCTTCTCCTGGACAGATCTGAGGAGCATGTTGAGAGATCTACCCTGTTGGTTCAGAGTTGAAACGAAGGCCTGTTGTGGCCGAGGAGAGATTGAAGTTGTCCATGGAGAAGAGGAAGCTGGAGGCCCAGGAGCACGAAACTGAAGTGGCAACTCTTATCAAAGAGAACGAGGAGCTAAAAGAGAGAATGTCCTCGATGATTACCAGGGAAGAGCACGTTGAGGGTCTCTCCTGCCAGATTGAGGTCAGCACTTCACTTGCCATTGAAAGGTTCGTGAAGCATAAATTAGTCTACCCTAAATGGCCGGAGATGGAAGAATCTGGCACGCTCCTTTTGGATCCTGATGATGAGGAAGAAGACCGAACAAGCGGAAAGACTGAACATGCCAAGAGAGCGGAGGAAACCAGAGAGAAGGGTGTCAGAATGTCCTTAAACATCTAGAGCTGTGGAGATGTTTTTCTCTTTTTATTTTGTGTTGTAAGGAAGATTAAAATTGAATTTTGTAATTGAGCTTTAAAGTAATACAAGGATTTTTTGAAGTCGAAGGTTTTGTTCCTCGCACTGCGTCTTTCTTTTATCTAAATGTCAGTCATGCTCTTGAACAATATGTCGTTTGCCATAAATTTTTGGCGAGAATATATATATATATATATATATATATACATACATACATACATTAGACTTTGTTTAATTTGACATAAGGGACAATTCGTCATATACCCTTCACGGAGCTTGTCGTTGTTGGGTGTTGTGTTTTTGTGAGGGCCACAAGCAATTGTTTTCACACATCTCGCGGAACTTGTCGTTGTCGGGTGTCAAAACATCCTACATGCCACTGACGATTGTCGTACACCCCTCGAGAAGCATGTCGTTGTCGATTATTTTCTACACCCCTCGCAGAGTTTATCGCTGTCAGGTGTTCGATTATTATACGGGTCACGAATAATCGTTTTCACACTCCTCATGGAGCTTGCCTTTATCGGGTGCCAAAACATCCTATGTATCACTGACGATCGCTGTACATCCCTCACGGAGCTTGTCGCTATCGGGTGATGACCGTTTTACAATCCTCACAGAGCTTGTCGTTGTCGCGCTGACGATCGCTTTCACACTCCTCGCGGAGCTTGTTGTTGCAGGGTGTTGGGTAATTATAGGAGCCACAAACGATCGTTTTCAAACCCCTTGCGAAGCTTGTCGTGGTGCCGAAACATCCTATATGCCACTGATGATTGTTGTACAGCCTTCGCGGAACTTCTTGTTGTCGGGTGCCGATCCGTTATATTTTTGGAGAATCAATTCTCCGAGCGTAGAACGCTTAAAGTCTCTTTCTTCTTTTTCATTCACTTTTTGATATGTGACAACAATGCATTTCAGAATCTCAAAGCAATCACATTTTATTTATCATGTAAGGTATCTTAAAGAAAAAAGCTAAAAAACAGAAGAATAGAAGGCAATTCATCTTGTTTATAAGCAACAAAATACAAGAGCATAAAATGTATTATGTTCTTTAATGAATTTTAAGGAAAAAATCTCTTCAAATCATTATCGTTCTAAGTACGAGGGACCTCATTTCCCGCAAGGATCTTGAATTTGTATGCTCTGGATCCGACCTTCAGGTGGATAATATAAGGACCATTCCACGTCTGATCTAGTTTCTTAACTACCACGTTGGTTCAATTTCCTCCGTCAGGTCTAAAGTAAGCATTATTCCTTCATTGTTTGTCTCGCGCCAGTCCTCCAAGTTCTCCTCATCGAAGACCAAGGCGGTGAGCACCCTCTGATCGTAATTGTTGTATTCAACCGACAACATAGCTTTCATCCCATGGGAAAGCATGAACAGAGTTTAGCCCGTGGATGAAGATGACATTGTTCGAATTGCCCATAACACCTAGGAGATTAGATATGCCCATTTCCCCTCTGCTCCTACTTTCATCTTTGGCAGGTTCAAGATGATTTTGTTGATGGCATCCGCCTACCTGTTAGTTCAATGGTGATGCACAGAGGCGAAGTTAAGGCTAATTCCTCGGGTTTTGCAGAAATCCCAAACTCTTTTATCAACAAATTAAGTTTCGTTCTCTGTGACGAGGACAAGTGGCAGTCCGTATCAACAGATCAAGTCCGTCCAAATAAAGTTTTGAACCACTTCTGCTATTATGTGGGCGATGGGCTCTACTTCTATCCACTTAGAGAAATAGTCAAAGACCACCAATAAAAACTTGTGTAGTCCCTTTTGATAGGGGAAAAAATCCTAAAACGTCAAGCCCTCATACAGTGAAAGGCCAGAGACTGACTATCTCTTTTGTGTCTTTAAGTAAATTTGGCAAAAAATACCCGTTGCTAGATTCGATGGGCTAGCGTTTTTTACTTCAGAGTGACTTCCACACCCCTCGACATGAACATTTTGGAAAATATCTTCTATCTCATCCTTTCTAACGCACTTCAGGTATAGAGATGTGGCCAACTTCCTAAACAAATTTTCTCTCCACCATCAGAT